AATCGCTCAGAGTGCCATTGGATGTTGTTGGTGGCCATTTTCTCTTCACTGTATATGCCTCAAGAAAAGATTTAAACGTTAGTGATCTCCCAGCTGTATCATCTATTATTGACCTCAAAGATTAAAAAAGCCTCATTATAAAATGTTTGAATTATTAATTAATTTGGCATGACCTGATGAAAACATTTTCTTGATAAAACTTTGAACCTCTCTTAGGTATTATAGATTGACTTATGAAAGAAATGATGTCACTCCTGAGTTTGATAGTCTTAGATGAGGGATAGTACTTGGTTAAAAAGTTTTTAGCTAATTCATTCCAAGCTAGGATTGAGCTTTAGATGAGGATAATTTAACCATATCTTTGTTTTGTCTGACAGAGAAAATAGAAACTATTTAAGTCAAATGAAATCATGAGAGACTCCATTATATTTGAAAGTTCAACATCTCTAATAAACTAGCACTCTGCAAGTTAGGATCGTCTACAAGCGGATCCCCAAATTGAAAGTTTTGATTTGTTTGGGGGATAGCTAGTTTAAGTTCAAAATTTTTAGTTTGGATAACATACTTATTGATAGTTGGGTGAATCTCATCTACTAAAGGGTTGTTGAAGTCTCATAGGGTTTAAGCTGATCAAATTTGTTGGTTAATTTGCCATGCTTTGATGCTGTCTTTGGCTCTCTTTTTATTTTCTAATTTTTTAAAATGTCATTTTTATTTCAGGATCACACAATAATAAATCTATATTTTTTTTATTGTATGCATACAATGCATAACCCTTATAAAAAAACTTAAAAGTACATCAAAACAAGTTAACGAACAAGTTCAAATATTTGAAAACAACTATATGAAAATAAAATAATTTGATAATATACCACAATGTATACTAAAAATAAAATAACATTATCGGACGAAATAATAAAAATATAGCAACAAGATAACAAAACAAAATAGATTATTCATAAACAAATAGCTAAATAAAAACTAAGATAACTAAACTAATTCTAACGTATGCAGAATTTAACTCTTGATTTTTAGCAATTGCACCAAAATATTTGATCGATGTAACGGTGTATGCAAGTATATTGCCATTCAAATAATTTATGAATAGTTAAGTATTATTCCCATGAGAATCAAAATTAAATTTTTTTGACTAAGTATTAATTTATGTTACTCGTGAACTTATCTAACAATCACACGAAGAGCACTTCTTGAATTTAAAGTTGGTCAAACAAATTTTTATACTACTGATTTCTAAACTCAATAAAGTGAGGAAATCTCTAAATTTATGGATTCACCAAACTTATTATGCTTTGTTTCATAGATTGACTGAACACAATCATTTTAATTGCCAATTAGGAACTAGGTATCCTTTAGTCTCTTTCGCTAATTTAAAAGTTCTAATCTTAAGGACTAATTCAATATATTTTTATGTAAACTAGAATCATAAAATTGCATTAAGTATTATTCTTAATTGATTGCATGTTTAAATTGAGTATATGCCTATCTCAGTTATGATATATGTTGACTTCTTTCTCAAGTATTAAATAATACTTTTTATTATTAAATGCTAGAGTTTTAATTTGAATGTTGGTTAAATTCTCAATTAAATGAAGTGCAATATATATCAAATAATTTTAAGAATAGAAACCAAAATAATAAACTATTTTATTAGCTAACTTTGATTGCACCACAAATTTAGAAAAATACACTAGTCCATTTAAATTGCATTAAGACAAATCATAGAGCTAAATTATCTTACAAAATACAACCCCAAGGTATAACTAAAACTTGGAGAAGTTATGACCGTAAGAAGTTTTATGTCCAAATTTTTTCTTGGTCTTCTTTTTCCTCTCAAGACTTCTGCCTCTTTAATGTTCTCTCCCTTGCTACACTCTCACACTCACACTCGCACTCACACTCACACTCGCACTCACACTCGCACTCACACTCACACTCTTGCACTCCACTCCCCACTATTTACTTATATAAAACTACTTATATGCTACTACCTTAGACTAAAATTTCTTATTCTCCTCTTGACCCTAAGGTCATACCTCCTCTAAAGCACTACCCTAGCTCACAATTCCGTTCAAAAACATCTAAAAATTAACTTGTTAGGACCACCATTTTTAAGCTTTAAGATTTCTGTATGTTTGGCATAAACTAGCTTTTTGGCACACCCTTTAGGGCTCAGTTGAGGTGCGACGAAGGAGAACAATTAGCCAGATTAAATTCTCACCAACACTCATTCTGACTTGCAAAATCTTAGTCTAGTGGGTGATGAATTAGTCTAACTAAATCATCGAAAACATACTTTGTACATTTTGTTTCATTTATATTTACATGTATTTGAAAGCGTGGAATATTATATCATCAAAACATTTAAATTACACAAAACTGTGAAATCTAACAAAAATAAAATATAGACCAAAAAGATTGTACAAGCCTCCAAAGCTATAAATGCGAAAGATATACAACTCATAATTGGCTACTCGCTCTGGTGCTTTCACCCCTTCTTGAAAGTAAATAACGTAGAGTAAAAAAGAATGAACTCATCGATATAATTATTGTTAAAATATGATTTTATTGATGAAGAAAAAATGTGCAAGCTCATATGAAAATGTATGTTCACACAATTTATAACATGCTAGAGCTGTATAAAACAGGAAAAAAAAGCAGGTAGTGTAGAAAATTACGATTGTTGTATAAAACATGTATAGTTATAAGTAATCATAAAAATTTTTATAATAATATAATCATAACAATGTCATTATAATAGTGTCACCTTAGCAATGCCATTTGTAAATGTATAGACATCAACTATTTTCATGTCATGTCGTCTCATAAGTTGTCGTTCTGCCCCAAAAGCCTTATTAACTATCGATAAAGGTTGTGTCCCCCATCATAATAATTATCAATTGCCCCCCAATACCAATGGTTCCCTATGTTCTGTCACGGTCTGATCACAACGAGTTACAGAGTTTCGTCGCCAACTGAACATCAGAAGTCGGGAATATCACATCCCTGTATAGCTTATTTGCACGAACTCGTGTAATAGTCTACCTATTTTCTTCCTCGTGACATTTTTTGAAACATAATACACGTACCAAGCATTCATGTACATTTTATATATCACATGCATGATATATAACAATTGAATACCTGCAAACAATTAATATTATAAACACAGTCATATGTATCATAGCATGTCCATAGCATAATAACATTGCATGTATTGTAAGAAGAAATCAGCTTTTATTCATACATTCGATGTTTGTATTCTTTCACATAATGTAAAAAATTTTAAATGCATCTGTATTAAATGAGAAATCATACGAAGACCCATAAAAGAATTTTTTTCTTATGTTAGCACAAGTTTATTTCACCTGAATTGACGAAACAATCCTGCAATGAGTTTTCTCACGCTCGTTTCGAGCTCGCCGCTTCATATAAAAAACCTAAAATTCATAGGCAACTTAAGGTTTTATGAAAACTGGCTCAGAACGTGCTTCAACCCAAAACATGAATTGAATGCTAACACATAACTGACCCTTCACTTAATCTGCCTATTTGATTTCCCCCTCCAAATTTTTTAATTCTCTCATATTCTCGCTAGTTTCTCGCCGAAACCTTTTATGGAATCCCACCAACCAATTTCATAGCTTTTAACGCAAATATGCCTTCGCTACGACGACAAAAAAAGAAAAAGTGCGCAAAATCAAGGCAAACGTCCTTGAACGTCAAAACAGAAACCAGAGAAAAGAAAGGAATGTTACAATTAGCGTTAAACTGAGCTTCATACCGTTAGATTTTCTCCTGGTCCCTTGAATCGTAGTCTGCGGCCCTCTACAGGTCACCAGGATCGCGTGACTATAGTGCCGCGATTGTTGCTCTCACTGGATCCCTTCTGCCGAGCGATGGAGAAGGATATTGAGAGAGGGGATGAATTTTGAAGGCTTTGGAAACCCCATTCAATCGAACTAGCGATAAATAGCGCGTGCAGGGCGGTTGATACAGTGCATGTACGTGAGATTAGGAATAAATAGGTTTAATTAAAGTTAATTAAATTTATAGCTTCCAAGTTTTTCATCTCCCAATCCAATCATAATAATTATATAGTGCTTTGTATGAAATTTGATCGTTTTTATGCGTAGAATTTTATAAAACATGATTCGGTTGAATTCTGAGGGTGCAAAATTTGGGTACTTTTAAATTTTGTCGAATTGTAACCTGCTTTCAATTTTTGGGTGTTACACTTCTTCAGGCGTTACAACATTAAAAAATGTCGCACTGAGGTCCCTTGCTTTCTGGCATGAACTCCTTGAATGTTCTGGCATTGCACCGCCAAATACTGTCTCTGCATCACCAATCTCTTGGGTTTCCATTTCAGATTTTCTCCTGATTAGAGCTGCAGTGTTTTTTAGATAGCGTTGTGGTGCCAAGTTCTTGGGTTGATTGTCCAATTTATTTTGTATCTAGTGCTGTGGGTCTCAGTGCACAACGCCGAGGCACTATAATAGTACTTGTTGAATGTTTCTCCTCATTCTGTCTATGTGAAATTTTCTGTGGAAAACACATAATTTAGTGAACATATCTGTAAAAATAACCCTTTTTTTAATAAATTTTATTAATTTTTAAATACACTAATCTCACCTAACAACTTTCTCTTCTGAAGACTCCACTTGAATGATATATTAGTTTATGTATTTACATTTTTTTCTTCTTGATATTTGTAGGAGTTTTTATTACTTAATGCACATTAGTTATGTATTCTTGCTTAATTTTAAAACTTTGAGCAATCTATGATTCTTATATTAGGTTTGAGTTGTTCCCAAATTATACCAAAAAATATTCTGATCAAAAAGCTGAAAAGAACCAGTAACGATCTAGCGTTTGATTCATTGTGCTATTCTATTTTTTTCATTACTTTTTGTTATGGAAGCTATTTTGTACGTTATTAGATGATCATGTTTATTTCATTTTTGTAATATCATTTGTAGGTTTGCTCTGCATTTGTTCAGTTAATCGAAGTTCGGCCTGCTTTTTTGGAGGTAGGTAAAATATTTTTCCTTTAAGATTCCGCTCCATTTTTTTTGATTTTGGAACAGTTTTTTAGCTAGATACAGCCTTAGAGCCTTGTCCTGGATGTTCCGTTCTTGCTTTGCCCAAGTGACTTTTGCAATGCTCTATTTTGAAGTTTTAATTTATCCTTTCATCTCGAGAATGGCTTTACACAGCTATATCTTTACCTGTAAAATAGTGTTTCCAGAAATAAGATTTCAACTATCTTCTACAGCCACATTTGAGGACTGTGATTGAATATATGTTGCTAGCTAATAATGACTCCGATGATGAAGTTTCTCTTGAAGCATGCGAGTTTTGGTATGTATGCTCTATCTAGCTTCTTGTCTTTTTTTTTTTCCTTTCCATTACAAGTCTTAAATGCATTACAAGTCTTAAATGAAGATGTTGACTTTTTGTTGAAATTTGATGGGTTTTTTTTTTCCGCCAATTTAAAACATTATCATTTGATGTCTAGTAGAAATATCTGAGATTGTATAAAGTTAGAGGAAGTGGAGTAGTGGCGAGCATTTTGCCTTTTCTAGAGTACATAAAGTTAGAGGAGATTAGGGATTGGTGAACAATTTACTTCTTCAAGTTTGATCTGGAAGAATATCTATCACTCTATTAATGATTCCCAGGACTACTTTCAATTCAAACTGAACCAGTCAATCTAAGGAGCTATAGCTGACCAACTCTGTTTTATTTGAGCACAAAACCTGATTCATAAGTTGGTGATAGCAAGAATTCTAAATGGAAGAAATAAGCCAAAACAACCCCCAATGTGTGGCTCATCGAAAACAAATGTGTGGGAAGAGTATTATTTGAATCTCTTTCATACTTTCGAGTGATATGATCTATAGTCCTTGAATAATTGAGTTATTTTATTATTTTATTTCATTTTCATTTAGTCATCGAAGTACTTCCACAATTCATGCCTTAAATTTTGGCTGAGTTGCTCAGTTTCAAGGATAGGACTTATTTTCATGCGTTATTATCCATTTTAAACCAAGTTTGATTTGAATTTAATTTTTCATATTCTACTTAAGTTTTTTATTTTGTAGAGAATTAGTTTTGGATTGAACGAAGCTTGCAATTCAAAGATTTTTTCAAAATTCTCCTGTTAAGCTCACCCTCTCTAATCAAGAAATAAGTTGATAATTACATATGATGGGATTTATTAGAATAATCAGTAGTCCATATGCTATTCCTACTTTATTTACACCTAAGAAAAGTGGCAGTTGGATGATATTTGTAAATAGTAGAGCCATTAATAAAATCATCATTAAATACAGATTTTTATATCTTATTTGGATGATATGTGGGATATAATGAATGGTTCTTGTGATATTTTCTAAAGTTGATTTGAAGAGTAAATATCATCTTGTTAGAGTAAAGGATGGCGATGGATATAAAAGTTATTTTAAAATTTTTGATTAATTATATGAATGTTTCATGATGTATTTTAAATTAATCAATAGACCTAGTACTTTTATATGATTAATAAATCATACATTGTGACCTTTTCGTAGAACATTTTTTTGTTGTTTACTTTAATGATACTTTAATTATAGTGAAACATGATATGATCATTTTGTGCATCTTAGGAGAGTGTATGAGTTTTAATAGACAAAAAAACTGTATATTTTAAAATATAATATCATAATTATAAAACACTACAAGTAGAATAAGTGAAATTACTAATAATTGTCATAGAAAAAGGAAAATTGATAGAGAAAATAAAAAAAAATAATTATAGCTAAGGATAAAAGTTCATTGGATCAATAAAAATAAAGATAAAAAGAAACTCATATGTGAGGTTTTTCTTGAAGCATGGTGAATTTTGGAGAATGTTGACAAATTTTGTGATTCCTGCCCATTGCCTATTTGCTAAATAGGGTTTGAGATCCCCTACTTTCTAGAGTACCAACGCTTGCTCTAAACGGAATCACACTATGGATCATGTTCATAAGGTTGTTGAGTGAAAAACATGGTATTTGAACATGAAGAAATGGATTTTTTGACTCCATCTATGAGTCTTTTTAGTTTTTCTTTGTATTTGTGGATGGTTATTTTGTTGATAATGATAGAGTTAATATATTTAATGATTGGCTAAATCCTACGAATATAGAGCCTTTAATTAAATCATCATCAAATACAGCATTTTTATGCCCTTTTTGGATGATATTTTGGATATGATAAAAGGTGCTTGTGTTATTTTTTGAAAGTGATTTGAAGAGTCAATATCATCTACTTAGAGTAGAAGACGGTGACACAAAATTTATTTTGAAATTATAGATGGATTATATGATTGTTAGATGATGTATTTTAAATTAACTAATGCATCTAGTACCATTATATGGTTAATAAAACATATCTTGTGACATTTCCTTGGATTTTTTTTGTTGTTGTTTCATTTCATGATATTTGAATTTATAGAAATGATGATCCTTTTGTGCATCTTAGGAGATTGAAAAAAATTCATCTGGAATGTTTTGCTTGAAGCTCAGTGAAGATTGGAGATTGTTGATAAATATAATGATTTTTGTCACATTTATTAAATAGGATTTAAAATTCCCTACCCGAGAGTATCAACACTTTGCTCTAATCGGATACATACAAAGGATCATGATCATAAGGTTGTTGAGAGAAAAATATAGTATTTGAACTTCAAGAAATGCATTTGGTGATTCCAAATATGATTTTTCTTGTATTTGTGGATGGCATTTGTTAGTTTTGATTGAGTTAATATATTTAATTATTGGTCAAAACTTACCAATTTGTTAGGGAGTTTAGTGTTGTTATCATCACAGTTATAATTGTATCAAATAACTGGATTTAAACAATCTAATTTTTTTACTATGATTTTATTGAAATCAAATAGAGACTATCGGTGCAATTGTACTCAAATTGCTTGAATTTAAGATTTTTTTGTGATTGGAGGTGTGTTGAATCAAGAAGTGCTTCCCATTGCATTCCTTAGAAATTGAAAAAGACTAGTCACGATAGAGAATCTTCGATATTTGTGCTTATCATTTATTAGTCAAGGGGTGTCGGTCAACTTTTCGATAGATTTCTTTGAAAAATATGAATATAAAAATAATTTTTGAAATTTAATTTAATATAATAGATATATAGTTTGGGTTTTGAAAGTAGTACGTTTTAATTTTTAAAAAATGAGACCAAATGGATCTCATTTGTCCAATAGTTTGCATAATTGTGTCTGATACCGCGAATACTACACCCTCCCGAAAGATAAGTGTAGATCTTGGCGATAGACCCAATCCTGCAAACTAAGAGATTTGTGACATCCGTTTGGTCTGCGAACCTTTTATGTATGACCGACAAGTTCCCCTATTTAATACTAAGATTAAATAGGTTTTTTTTACCTGGGTTCCAAGTTCCCTATAGAGACAAACCTCTATAGTTAATTACTTCTCAAATGACTGGAGTCACTTGAGAAAACTCTCGATAATGATCAGTGGTTCTAGTCTTCAAGATTTCAAGGTTTAGGTTTTCACGGTAGGACGTGGAAAAAAAAATCAAATATGAACAGTTATTTCAGGAGTCCAAAGAAAAGAAAAGGTAGGGGATGTCCTAGATCTTGAGGAGAACCCTCAATGACTTCCCAAAGTATCCTACTGTGTGGCTATATTTTTGGAGACGATGTTAATTAAGTGTCTGATCCTGCCAGTTTTATTATTTGAGACTTACATTTGCATAATATCCGATTATGCAAATAGCCCGCAGAGATAAGAGGGTTTACGTTGTAATGAACAACAACCTCAGAACCTAAAGCGAATTAGGACTTACACTGCACAATATTGTTGCACATGTGCCTAAAGAGGGAATGTGAGGATTTACGTCGCGTTAGGCGAGCTACCTCGAAGGTCTATGGGTTGTTATTATGCTAGGAAGGGATAATGCCGAAGAAGATTCTCTCGCTGCTCGGTCTGAATTCCTCGCCGTGAAAAAAAAAAGTTGGTTCCAAGCTCCTGTCGTCACGACGGCTCCATGGTTTAAGTGCTTGAGATCGGGATTTACATTTCACAGTTTTGGTGTCAATGTTTGGTTTTGTTTTGTTTCGATTTTGGTTTTGCATGGAGAATAAACAAATCGCAGGTAAATAAAAGGTACTTGAAATGTAAAATGCAGTAAAGTAAAATGCTGTAGATAAACTGTAAAAGCGTACCTGAGCATCTGCTACTGTTGCGTGATTAATATTGCGAACATAGTATGATTTGCAGTAGATCTTAATAAACTTGCAAGAAAATTAATAAAGCAAGAAAACCCAGCATGAAAGTCATAAAAACGAGTAGTAAAAATCACAAGCAAAAGAAACATATAACCACATGAAAGATCAGAACTGAGAATAAGACATTGGTAAAAGTGGGGGCTCAGAGCTCGGCTGTGTGCTTCCTGCTCTTGAGTAGAGTTGCCAACTCGACAATCTACAGGAGGTAGTTCTTAACCTCAATTCAAGTGACTAGCCGTGGACCTTTATAAATTTTCATAGAAAGGTTTTCATGTAAAAGTTGTTCAAGTCTTTTTTTATGTAGAGTTCTTTTTAACATGCAAAATAAATTTTTATTTTATTTTTGTAAATATTTTGTAAAGTGGTACAGTCCACAGACTAGTCACTCTAATTGTGCTAGAACTACTGATAACCTAAGAGTGTCGGGGGCAACGATCCCACCAAGAATCAGCGAATAGTATCATAGGCCCTTCCCTCTCCCTTGTTGAAGATCCTTGAGGTAGGAGATACTATTCTAATAATCTAACCTCGTATCCCTCGTTTAAGCACACAT